ATTTATTTGTTTATTATTGGCAACCATAATTATTATTTTTTTTTAATTTTGATTTCTTTCTAAAATGAAATTCTTGTAAATATGTTTTCATTGCGAGTATGCTAAACAACTATAAATCCTCAAAATGTAAATTAGAAAAATCTTGATTATAGAAGGGATTGATTTTTTGGCATTTACTAAATCAAAGTTGTTTAATCTGTATACAAAATTAAATTCTAAAAAAACATATATGTATATTTTTTAAAATATTTTTACACTATTTAATTTTAAATTTACTTACATATTTTATATTTATTACATAAATAAATAATACAAACGTGCATTAAATATTTTTCATTACATAAAAAAAAAAGAAGACATACAACTTTTATAACTTTTATAAATATTTAATGCACGTTAGTTGACAACAACGTTTATAATAAAATAATAATTAAGTATTATATGGTGAACAATAATAAGTAAAACTGTTATTTTCTCTTATATTAAGTTAACGCCCCGTTATTTTTAATAGAAAATACCAAATATTTTTCCAAAAATCAGAGTTAATTTTTCGCAAATCAATTTAAAAAATTATTTAAGGGGCGCTACTCAAGTATTCACATTTAGACAGTTAAGACAACACTTAACCTACGGGAAAACATCCATCCTGATTATACATCTCATGCCAACAATTAACAGATCACAATAATCATTCAAACATTTTCATAATCCCAACTCAAATTCAAACAGGCATAATCATCAATTACATGGTCCGGTTTCCAAAACAAATATCCGGAAGCATGCATAATAATCTCAAAATAAATAATCTAACATGGTGCGAATATCAATAGCACTAGTAAACAAGTTCGACAATGAGAATTATAATAAATAATCAAGCGGAAGCAGTAAACAGTTCAAATAGCAAATAAATGACCCTGCCTCGCTCGTCTTTCGCCACGGCCATCAGCTCAACCTGAAAAGAGAGAAAATAATGGGAGTGAGCGACCAATACGCTTACTGTGGGAATACCATGCAGTATAATCAACATAATGACTTAAAATCATAATCTCAGTACGCAAGCAGATCGATTAGTCTACCTCCTACCCAGCCCTATGCTCGTGTGATCACCTCTAACCGTCGGGACTACGCCCTTTCACGGGAGCTAAACCGTCGGGACTACGCCCATTCACAGGAGAATACTCTCTAGAAGCTAAAGTCAGGAGTGGTCGAAGGTCCATCAACGGAGATAACTCTCTCATAGACTACCGGTTCACAAGCATACATAGACGATCAAGTCAAGCAATTATATCAATTAACATACACAGTAAGGTTTATCAACACCCACCTGATCAGTTCGAAGCAGAATAATCACACGATCAGATGAAGGTAGGCTGAGGTTCGACTCCTCAAACACCTACAATTAGGGGTTTAATAATATTAAGGATTTTGATTGGGTTGATTAAGCCACGCAATTTAACATACAATTAATAACAACACATAAGGCAGGCAATTAAGACAGATAAAAGCACATTATTCTGTCCAATTAAGCAGATAAATTCACATAAAAAGTACATCTACAAATAAGGCAAGAACATAGTTCAAACACCACATAAACATGCTTCTTTCTTCATAACTCAACCACAAATAATTTGGTCTTATAAACTGAACACATCTTGATAAATACACCTCATATTCAGCATGGTTCATGCATGTATATAGCTCAACAAAATCAAGGTGAACTCACGGCCAAGCAACACCTACAGTAAGTCTCATTTTTATTTTTATTTTTATTCTTCAACTTTACCTAATTCTATCCTGCCATTAAAATGAAATAAACTCTGAACTTTGGTGCACCTATTAACATGTTTCACACCTAAATAAGACTCTAGGCACCAGCTCAACATAACAAGGCAAGGATACAAACAAAACAGCATCACAAGCACCTCAAAACTCATGTTTTTCTAGTAAGAAATGACCTGCCACAGCAGCCTCAAATATACATAACTCGGCTCAGCATGAAAACATATACCCAAGAGAAGATCATACATCGAAATGGTTCTTAACCACATTGAACTCTAATCATGCAATTCAATACTTTTGACTGGAAACTTAGCCCTCTCAAATTGCTCGCAAACCAGTAACCAATCAATATTGACGAGGTTCAGCAACTCACAGAACAAGGCCATAAAATACATATTCGTTCGAGTCAAAAGAGACACCGAACATGCTTCTTAACCTTCTTAAATGTTAGCTGTTCCAATCATACTTACAAAACAATTTCTTAAGCACAATAACAACATTAATACTACACAATTCAGCACCAAATCAATACATGCTCACAGCCTCAAGGTAGTTGGACAAACAAGGCAAAATAACATATAAACACTGTAAAATATAATCCATGCAGTTTCCTTGTTACTACAGTGCAACTTCCTTGCACATTCATTGCATTTTCATTGCAGCTGCATAGCACTTTCATGGCAGCTACTTTAGTTTGACTTTTCAACTTATGTATTTTCTAGGAAAGTCACTAGGATAGTTGTTTTTAGTTCTTATAAATAGGGGTGCAGTTTTTATTTGTAAAAACAAGACAGCAAAACCTGAATAATCAATACTTTGAGTTGTTCAATATCTTCTTCTATCCTAAAAGTGTCCGTTTGTGCCGGGAAGCATTTTCTCTTACCTGAACAGTGCATCCTAGCTGCAAATAAAGACGAGCAGGGACTAACAAGTGGCATCAGAGCCATGGCAAGCCAAGATGCTGCGTCGATGGTGCAAGGGAGCGGTGCACACGCTTCACCGCGCCAGGAGGTCATCATCCACAGGACCGTACGGGACGTTGGCGGGGCCAACTGGCCGGTCCTCACACGCACAAACTAATGGCGAGCTAGCGGAGACTGTTTTCGTCAAGCAAGCCCCGGGCTTCGTCGTCAAGGGAAAGGAGCACAAGGTGCTACGGCTGCGGAAGGCACTCTATGGGTTGCGACAAGCCCCGCGAGCGTGGAACGCCAAACTCGATGCCACTCTGGGTACGCTTGGGTTCACGCGCTGCGACAGAGCACGCGCTCTACACGCGACGACGGGGGAAGGAGGAGCTCGTCGTCGGCGTGTATGTGGATGATTTGATCATCACTGGGACACGAAAAGAGGACATCAACGGCTTCAAGCGCGAGATGGCAGCTCGTTTCTGCATGAGCGATCTCGGGCAGCTTTCCTACTACCTCGGCATCGAGGTGAAGCAGGGGAGAGACTCCATTACTCTCTGCCAGCGTGCGTATGCGGGGAAGCTATTGGAGCGGAGCGGCATGGCTGACTGCAAGTCATGCGCGACTCCGATGGAGGAGCGGCTGAAGCTGATGAAAGCTAGCACCGCAGGGAAGGTGGATGCAACACTCTACCGGAGTATCGTCGGCGGGCTGCGCTACCTAGTCCACACGAGGCCAGATATCGCATTTGCCGTGGGCTATGTCAGCCGCTTCATGGAGGAACCCCGAGAGGATCATTGGGCTGCAGTAAAGCGGCTGTTGCGCTATGTCAAGGGGACGGTGGACCAGGGCATCATCTTTCCCAAGACCGACGGTGGAAGTGGGCTGCGCCTCACGGTTTTCAGCGATGCAGACATGGCAGGCGACATTGATGGGCGGAAGAGCACCTCCGGTGTGCTCGTCTTCCTTGGATCGGCTCCAATCTCATGGCAGTCGTTGAAACAGAAGATCGTGGCGCTCTCTACATGCGAAGCAGAGTACGTGGCAGCAGCCACAGCGGCGTGCCAGGCGGTCTGGCTGCGTCGGTTGCTGGGTGAGCTGACCGGCGAGGAAGCTCGTCCACCAACTCTAATGGTGGACAACCAGCCCGCCATTGCCCTTGTGAAAAATCCAGTCCTCCATGACCGGAGCAAGCACATCGATACCCGTTTTCACTTCATCCGGGATTGTGTCGATGAAGGACAGATTGTTTTGGAGTTTGTCGAATCCGGACGGCAGCTCGCGGACATCCTTACCAAGCCACTTGGCCGTCTTCGGTTCATGGAGCTTAGGACCAAGATTGGAATGATGGGAAACAAGCAAAAGCAGCAGGATTAGGGGAAGAATTGTAAAATATAATCCATGCAGTTTCCTTGTTACTACAGTGCAACTTCCTTGCACATTCATTGCATTTTCATTGCAGCTGCATAGCACTTTCATGGCAGCTACTTTAGTTTGATTTTTCAACTTATGTATTTTCTAGGAAAGTCACTAGGATAGTTGTTTTTAGTTCTTATAAATAGGGGTGCAGTTTTTATTTGTAAAAACAAGACAGCAAAACCTGAATAATCAATACTTTAAGTTGTTCAATATCTTCTTCTATCCTAAAAGTGTCCGTTTGTGTCGGGAAGCATTTTCGCTTACCTGAACAGTGCATCCTAGCTGCAAATAAAGACGAGCAGGGACTAACAAACACATATGCTCCTTATCTTCTTGAACTGGATAAACTAGCATGCTCTACACCCTCATTGAGCTGAAACTAAGCATTTTATACTCGGCCAACAAAGGTAAGAGTCTCAGCCAAAATACCTCTCATCGGGAATAAAAACGAGGGAAGAGGTTCGGGTCTCGGCTACGAGTTCTGGCGATTTTGTAGTTGTAATATGGTGGTCATGACTCATGAGGTCAAATTGCAACAAGTGAAATGTTCCAACCTAGTAAATGCATACAATTCTGAATGTCGAACTAGTATGTGTTCAATGAGAATTGTTGTTCGGTACTTGGGCTGTATTTTCATCAAGTTGAACTGTGTTTTTCTTACTTACAGAATATGAAATCTTTCTAATTTCCTCTTCTTTCTGGTAACTAGTTGTCATGGGATTTGGTTTGAGACTGGCTAATGAGTGATCCTAGTGGGTTGATGGAGTTGAAAACTATAAGGTGTTCTTTGTTCATTCATAATTAACATCAGAAATTGAAACTAGTATTAAAAGGTGTTCCTTTAGATCACCCAAATTTTAGCCCAACTGTTATTTGAGAAAAATAAAAAAAGGTACTATGTTGCTAATTTTCAAAGAATGTGCAGGCTGTAGCAGATTTCATGTCACAAGTAATGGAGAAACCACTGCTTTCCAACCCTGCACAGATGGTGAGATTCTGATCTGTTTCAGCCCCCACCAGCGTTTAATCACCTCTATGCTTTCAGACATGAAATTCATTAGGGAAAATGTTGTGTTGAGACGAGAGAGGCCTAAGAGGGTTTACGTTGAGTTCGGTGGTGGGTTAAAGGTGGGGATCGAGTGCATTAGGTGCAGTGGGGGATTCCACTGCTTGGCAGATATGAACGGATTATTTCGTTCTTATAGTGAAAAGGGAGAGCTTCAGCTGTGGGAGAATTTGTCGACTGTAGCCAAGATCAATGCCCTTTCAGGTTCTTCCTGCCATTGTGTTGAACCTGGTTTGTTCGGTTTCTATTTTGCGACACTTTGTGAAAAGGATAGACCTTTAGTTGTTCAATGTATTAAGAAAGTTTTGAAAGGCTTTATCTTTATTCTTTGTTTCTTGAACCTGAGAGTTTCACATTTGTGGCTTAGGTTTCATATATGATCCTTGCAGAATGAAAAATAGAACTGATGTGGGGCTAATTCCCTTTAAGTTAGGAGCTGTTCATTCTTTTTTGTGCATGTCAATTGTTTGTGGATTGATATAGTAAATGAAAATAAAATGTTACTGTTTGGTCCTTTTGTGCTTTGAGCATATATTTGTTATTTTTAACATTCAATAAGTCTGGGTGCCTGCTAAATGGGATGAAGTTGGCATTTATCTGAAACTAAGCTAGAATCTGGAGAACAAGTTCTGATCTTAACCAATATCCTCGCTTGTAACAATAACTAATTAGATCCTAAAAAATGTAATGATACCTGTTTTAACTTAAGAGATATTCACTAGTGTAAAACCAACAAGTGTCAAATAAATTCTTGATCTAAATTAGAGAAAAAAGAAAAAAAAAAAAAAACAATGAATAAAGAAAACAACGGAAGAACATGGTACTAAACTCGGCAAGATGAATGGTTTACCATTTTACCAGAAATCCAGTTAATGTTTGTAAAAATAATCTGCAACATTCCATACAGATGCTACTGTTAACATGATGAACTATCATAGTTCTTAATACAATTATTCAACTGGAGTATAAATTAAACTACCACTTTCTATCTCTTAGCCTGAGTACAAAATAATCAACTGCAAATGGAGACAAGAACCTGAACAGCTTCTGCCATGCTCAGTCTCCTCGAGGCCACCTCAGACGTGCAGACCAATCCCAACTTCATCACCTCAATCATCTCATTCTCTGCATATCCCTTCAAGCTTTTCTGTCAAAACATCCAGAAGCTGAACCCCTCTCTATTACACCCCTAACAAACTCGCCTAAAATCGCCATCTCATTTGCCCCTAGCCTCTCCACAGGCTTTCTTCCAGTAACCAACTCCAAAAATATAAACATCACATTTGTCGCTAATTCTCGAACTTTGAGCCAGCTCGTTCCAGGGTAACCGAGTACAAAATTGTATATTCTGGTTCGGATTCCCTGGACACATCTTATGCAATCACGTTGCCAAAACGAATACTGAATAAGCAACGATTAGTATGAAGGGAAGTAGAATAAAGAAGATGCGTATTGGTTCAAGGGATAAGTCTGTCATTTCACAACTTGGCTACTGTGCAGACATAAGAAATCTTACCTCTTCAACCCAGATGAATTTGTCCTGGAAATGTACGATTTTTTCACTATGCGTCGCCGGCCTCATTTTATCTGCAACACACTTTTTCGGTGCGATTAGGTCACAATCTCATCCAATCCCCTCTAACAAATGAGGCCAAAAACTCATCGAAACCGACTTGAGATCTGCATAGCCAGATTGGGCTGCTGAGCCGATTCCAAACTCGCTCCTTGTTTCATCAATATTAAAGATGTCAAATTCATCAATATTCATTACTGTTAACTTTAGTGAAAAACAGACATTTACACCATCACATTAAAGATGTCAAATTCATCAATATTCATTACTGTTAACATATGAAACATAAAATACTGAAATAGTAATCTTTGGCACATATCAACTGTCATCAACTAACTTCAACATATAAATTGATATGATCAGTAAAGTCATTTTTTCTGCCTTTCTCAACTATATTTTTCGCATACAACTTGATCTTATCTGTAAAGTCAATTTTTGTGCCTCTCTCAAGTCTCAACTATTCATAAAACCCAAACCAAGAGTAACCGCTCAAAATAATTGCATAACATCTTCATGAATTCAGCTTTTACGTTCTTCTTGTCTTCACAAACATTTTCGTCCTGGAGACTCACTATCATCAGCATATCAATCTGATACTCCGTAATCCAACAGACCCCAATAACATTTCAACAAAATCANAAAAAATATCCATAGAAATCAGAGCATATATGTTGCTACCTGGATGTTGATGAATGATAAAGCGGCAATGGAAAGGAGGTAGCCGAAGTTGTAGGAGAGTTCGCATCTTTTTACATCCCACGTAGCCCATCAGCGCCAATCTACAATTCCAAACCAATGTTCATCCATGTAATCCAATTCTCACATAGTTTATAGACCAACCCCCAAAAAAATTAAGATCAAAATCATTAATTATGAATTTCAAAAAACAATTATGCAATTCCCAAACAAATAAAACAAAAGCCTAATAGAATTATCTCACGAACACGAACCTGGAATATAGATTTTGAATCCTTAAAAATGACTGTGTCCTTTTTTCTCATAAATTAATAAATAAAGTAACATATGTACATCTATACTTATATTAAAAGCTATCTCATTTACCAGATTTAGTATAAAGAAAAGTCAAAAGTAATTAATGTTTGCTGGAAATAGAATGACACTAATTACAGATTTGTTTTGTTATTTATAGCTTGACATTAAAGATTTGTTATGGGATAAAAATCATAACCGATTTTTTTAGAAAAGTCAAATGTAAGTACAGATTTGTTTTATTCCATAAACCGATGTTAGATTGATAGAATGGATATTAGGCGTTAGATTGTGAAGATTATGGCACCATATGGTGCCCATATGGGCGCCATAGAATTTCTGCATAACCCTCATCAATCATCACACAAAGGAAATACACTTCCTAACACAAGTCAACGCTGCAACATCCTCATAAACACCCCAAATTCAAATCAACATGTGATCACCATTAACAAAGTAGATTTTTTTCCTTTACAATCAACATAAAGGACCTAAATTGGGGGGCAAATACTACAAGCACTTACGTACCAGAGAGAGAAAAAATGCAGCTAAACTTCTATGAAATTGGACAATTGATTAAAGTTCCATTTATATCCAACTAATAGAGCAATGATGAAAACCCTTTTGACCAATTCTAAAAATACAGAGCAGATTATCAAAACCATATAGCCAATCAACTCAAACAGAACAAGAGGAGATAGAGATATGAAAGCAGAATAAAGAAAAAAGTAATAAAGTTCCATTTATATCCAACTAATAGAGCAGGATGATCAAAATCCTTTTGGCCAATTCTAAAAATACAGAGCAGAGATTATCAAAACCCTATGGCCAATCAATTCAACCAAACTATCCAACCCAATCCACCTAAGCAAACCAGATATCCTCAAAAAAAATCCGTTTCCCCTTACCCAAATCCATCCTAATCAATCCCACACCTCACCCAATCCATCCGAATCAATCCAGCACAACCAGCTCTTCATACTCCTTGCCAGCAATAGCCTGATCCATAACAGCCTGGGGACTGATAATCCTACCTTCCTCCAAAAACACCTTCATCATATTCTTTGAATAACCACTCACAAGCGCCACTCCTGGCTGCCCTGCCGCCACCGGAGTCGCCGGAGAATCTCTCAGATTCCAAAACACAATCTCCGGCACACATTCCCCATACCCTTTCTCTCCAAACTTCCTCACAATCACCTCGTAATCAGTCTCCCACGTGCTTCCCTTGTTCATGGGAGTCCCATAAGCACCATAAGCACCATAAGCCGGTTGATTGTTCATGGGAGTCCCATAAGCACCATAAGCACCATAAGCCGGTTGATAATAATATGCCATCGACCGGTGGCCAGACGCCTCATCAAACTCCATGTCACTAAACACCAAAAGTCGCTTGATCATCTCATCGGGCTTGAGCTTCCCAGCCACAGCAACTTCAAGAAGCAAATCAAACACTTTTTGGAAATCAGTGTTCCCACCCCACTCCATACTCCTTACAAAATTCGTCTTCTCCGCCAAACTCGACCCCACCAAATCTTGGGGTCTGCACTGAATGTGATGAGCTTACCCTTCCACGGCTCCTCGCTAAGCTCCGAGACCAAAACCCCAAGAGCCACCGAAACCTCCATCGGGACACCCATCATGCTCCCCGACACATCACAAATCGCTAGGCAGTTGCTCATCTTCCCCTTCTTCGCCAGGTCATCCACCATTCTCCTCCACTGAAGCTCTGCCACCTGGCCGTTGTCACCGTCTTTAAGTCCGGCGACTATCTCGTGCGGAAGCAGAGCTCCAGCGGCAATCTTGGCCTCACCCTTGTCCACCTTTTTGAGATACTCTCCGAACCTCTGCTCATCATGCTCTCGAAACACCTGCTTGTACATTTTCATGGCAACAGAGGACACCCTGTTGTAAGGGAGTGTACTCCACTGTTTCGCGCTCATGTACACCTCCGGCAGCTCGAGGACTTTACGAAGAGGCACAAGAACCTGCTTGCGTAGACGGTCCCGAACACGGTACGCATAGTGGGCCTCCTCCACTCCTTCGTATTCCGGAAACTCCTCCCTCGGGAAGACTTTCTTGGCAATGGGCTCACAAAGCAGAGTCACCTGGTCGTATGAGGAGTCGAGGGAGGGGCACCACTTGGCGGCAAGGCTGATTTTATTCGATTGGCCGGAATTCAAATTCTCCATGTCCGACCGCAGGCACAGGGCAAAGTAATCCGACACACGCTCATGGAGGAATCTGTAATCTGGGTCGCGGCTGAACCTCTCAAAGGCCTTCTTTGCCCGCTCGAGCCTCTTCTCCTCATTGCTTAGTTTCGGCTGGTTCGAGCTCTCGCTCGGCCGGTTGGATCTCCTCCTCATCCGGCCATGGGTCTTCTTCCTTATGCCACCATATCGTGGGGCCATCTGTTTGGGTTTTTTGGCCTGCTGGCGTTTGGCAAGCTCGCGAGCCCGGCGTGAGCCCCTCGATTTCCATCTCCGGTAAGCCGCCTTAGCCAGTGTACGGGCGTCGGGGCCCTCGACGAGGCGGAAGAGGATCTCGAGGAGGTCCTTGAAGTAGCCGAACTTAGCCAGGGAGGCGACGTTGCAGGCAAGGGTCTTGGGGTGGTTCTTGTGGATCCACAGCGCCGCCGTGTAGCCGCCCTCCCTGTCGGTCTTGCCGGTGCCGCGAACGCCTCCGAGGTTGCAGACGAGCTTCAGGGCCTTAAGTGGGTCATCTTCCCAGGCGAGCTTCAGGCGCTGTGCGAGGGCCTCCTGCGGCGTGTCGGGGACGACGTGGAAGAAGAAGTCAAGGCACGGGTTTCCGGAAGAGAGGAAGGTCGGCGAGAAATTCTCGGTAAAGCCCCTGGGTGGCAGGGGAGCCGTGACCGCCGTCTTGTTGAAGTTTGCCACCATGAGGTCCATGAACGGATCTCCCGTGGCGGCGGCGGGGACGGCGGCGGCGGGAGGGGTAGGCTTCTGGTGGATCTCCGGCGGGCCGACGAGAGAAATTGTGGGGGCGGACGAAGCCATCGCGAGCGAAAGAGTGTTTTTTCTTGCTACGGTTTTGCAGGAGAAAGAGAGATTGGGGATTTTTTATGGCGAGTTGCAGAGAATGAGGAGATTGAGCGTTGGAGGGGCAATACATATAGTGCCAGATTTGCTTGCGGACCAAGGATAATCTGTTTTCCTAATTCTATTTTTCTTTGTTTATTTATTATTTTATTTTTTTATTTTTTATTTTTTTTTTGTGGTACAATGTTTATTTATAATATTAAACTAGTCCTGTTGTTTGCACGTCGTGTATTTGATAAACAATTACTAAGTTAAGTGACGTAAAATATCAACTATCAATTCAATTAATAATTATTAATTTAGGTAACAAAATATCAAAGGAAAAACGGTTTTCCTAATTCTATTTTGTTTATTTATAAATATTAAACTAGTCCGATTGTTTGGACGTCGTGTATTTGACAAACACTGCTAAAATTTTAAAATTAGTCCTATAAGTTGGTCACTGTCTAAAAACCTATCTAGTCATTAATTATTTTCAAACTGTGTCTAATAATTTGACAATTTAATCAAAATTGATCCTTTTTTATCCGCCGGATAAAAACGTGACATGACATTTTTAAATCTGACATGGATGTGGCAAGATTATAAATATTGACTTTAAAATTAAATGATCCAGACCATAGTTGCAATTAAATATAACTTTTAAAATTACAAAATAGTCCATATAACTTACTAAATTTAAATTCATCACCCAAATCCGGTTTTCTTCTTCTATTATCCGGTAATTCACGGCGGCCCACCCAAATTATTCCAGCTACCAAATTAAAATTTTCCCAAAACGATCATAAATTTGTATTTTTTTTGGACAAACAAGAAAAAGGGCAAACGAGAAAAATGTGAAACAGAGTTGAAAAATTGAACCTCTATTTCCCGATAGATTAACGACGTGGAAAAATCATTCTGCTACATCCCACTGGACCCGCCCCAATCCCCGACCGATTTGAAGCTCGGCGGCGGCGGTGGCGGTGGCGGTGGCGGTGGCGCCGTTATGCACAACATTCGGCGATGCCATCTTAGCCAACGCCTCCACCACCGCCCCAATGGACTGTGCCACCGCGAACAGGGCCACCGCCTTCGAGAGCTTCAATTTATTCTGCTTCTTCTCCAAATTGCTCGAAGTTTTAGTAACGTGACCTCTCTCAGAACTACTTCGTGGGGGAAATTCCGACGAACATCGGCCAGCTCCGCGCTCCCCCACCTCGATCTATCGGCTAACAACTTCACCGGCGACATACCTCCGAAGTCTGGAACTTAACAGATCAGAGAAATCTGAATGTCTATTGTAATCTGTTGAATATAAGTTCCGACTCATTCTTTATTTTTTGAGAAATCTAGTTAATTCAGATCTAGAACTTCAGGCTCGTTTTTTATATTTTATTTTTTTAATTTTGTAGTTTTATTTATTTTATTTTTTTTCTACTAGGGGTATATATATTTCCACCTCATTTTAATTTTTTGATTTCCACATCGCATAATTAAATTATTAAATACAACTGAAGTTGCCACATCACACTATGTCAGATAAAAAATTGTCACATCAAGCCACATCACGTTTTTATCCGGAGCACGGATAAAAAAGGACTAAATTTGATTAAATTGTCAAATTATTGTATTCAGATTGAAAGTGGTCAATGACGGGGTGGGTTTTTGGACAGTGGCCAACTTATAGGACCAATTTTGAATTTTGCCAACAAACAATCCATATCCATATCTATATAAAAAGGTTGATTATTTTTTAAATAGTAACTATTTCCCTCCAAAAAAAATCTATTTACTATTTCGGAAAATTAATTTAACAATTTATGGTATATATCAAATGATCACTTATGGAAATTGCGGCTCATTATTTAAGAAATTAATTAAGTCATATTTTAAGATACCTTAATTACTCAAATCGTGTAAATTAATTAATAAATGGTATAAGGTGGACGAATTTATTTTTGGTATTGATGGTTATTTGTGTAGGAAATAAATCAATCAATATATGGTATAAAGTGAGCAAATTTATTCAGGTTAATTGATGATTGTTTTTTAAAAGAAAATTTGTTGAAAGTTAATCAATATACGGTGTATTTTTTTCTGTAATGAGCAGGCCAATATATTGGTTTTTAGGCGTGAGTTTTAATTATTCGTATGAAATTAACATAATAAAACTACCGTAACTCCGAGAAAATAATATGAACGAATATAAGCTCTGGTCAATTTTTTTTATTATTTTTTTGTATAATTAGTGGGTCTCGATTTAATTTATTTTTTATTATGACATTTCAAATACCTTTTGTGTGAAATGCATTGTTCATTTTTTTAGCATGATAAGGAGTGTCGATTTTTTTTGCTAAAAAACCTTATGACATATTGTTTTTACTCAACTACTTAAATATTTTGATTTGGATATTTTATACAAAAATAAGTTCATATTAATTAATGAAACAATATAAGTTTTATATTTCTACTTACTATTCACATAGCTTTTTAAATATATGATAAAATTTTACCAAAATAATTATTTTATGGAATTACGTTATAGTCAAATCGAATTTCTGAATAAAATTTTTGAAATGACACATATTTTGAAACGAATATAATATAATTTGTTATTAGTTATGTGCAACACGCGGGTTGTGTACTAATTTTAAATAGACAATTTTTATGTAATTTTGCACCATTTAAATTTTATATAACATTTTTAATAAATTAATATAGGTATATTGTATTACATATTGATTCCATGTTTTTAATTTATAATCTTACTTAATGAGAATTTTTAATTAATAAATATTAATGAATATCGGGATTCGTACTAGTTATTAAGTTAAGTGACATAAAATATCAATTATCAATTCAATTAAATATTATTAATTTAGGTCACATAAAATATCAACTATCAATTCTTATCCAGTGATAGATCAAAAATTGTGCACGTTTTATATATTTAATAGTGTATTTTTGTACACTTAATTTATTTGCACGTTTGTATTTTTCGATTTATTTATTATTTGGATGGATTCATATACATTGATATTTTTATGTTTATTTTCAGAATATTAGAGTATTTCCATGGATGATGCGGACAAAAGTTTACGTGATCAATTATCGGGCCTTCTCAAAACCTGACAATTACGCCTACAATGGAAGTAAACTAATGCCCATTCACACGCCCAGTTCACATTGCCCATTCATGCAGCCCATTTAATTAAACCAAAGAAATCACGCAGAGAGAGGATGGGAGGGGCTGGACATTCATTTAACTTGAAGAGACTTGATTGGTTGAGAGAAAAGAGATAGGCATGAATTATTTGTTGGAGTTGGGGACATTCAGAACTCATTTTTTTTTTAGCTAGGAGAATTATTTATTTGGCAGAGGAGAACTCACGCAGAGGGTGGATTTTTTTTTTTGCGAAAAAAAGGAAAAAAAAGCCATGAGCCACAGAACAGAAAAAAGAAACCTAGGCACGGAAAAAGCCGAGGAGAATACGCACAGACTGGAGGAGAGAAATAACACTCGCGGAGGGAAGCCGCACTCGCACACAAGAGGGAGATAATTTCATCTTCTTTCTTTTATCTTTTATTTATTTTTATTAGTATGTTAGGCTAGACTGTTATCCAGTTTGAGAGGATGTTTGAACCCTAGTTTCAATTTGTCTATGAATTGAATGATTTATATTTATCGTTGATTAATCGAGACGCCGTATTTATTTTTGTTGATGAGTTGATTCATGCTATCTGTGTTTAATGTTTATGAATTATGGTGTTTGATTTAGTCTGGCCAACTACGTTAAATATTCATAGTTTAATTACTATATTCGGGACTTTAATCCGTAATTGTTATTGTCTCGTTTCGTTAGTAGTAAACTAGGAGTCGTGCATCTCTAGGGTAGCATGAACATAAGTTAAATGGTCCGAGCTTTTGCGTCCATTGCTTAGACTGATCTATTTTCCTCGTAATTAATGCTGCTAGCGTATTAAATCTAGAGAGCTTATTCTAGGTTGTCCACTAATTAGGTTTAGTCGAAGAGCTTATTTCGATTAAATAATATGTAAGGGAAAATTCGGTTAACAGAGCTTATTGTTAGCTAGGGTTAGTAATTCATTAGCAATTTAAAGAAAGCGTCGAAATTAATTAACGGTAAATTTAGATTGGGTGATAATTGAACCGAAAAACTGGATTTCTCTTATTTTATTTGATTTTTAATTTATTTTATTATTTTTATTTTTATTTTCTATTAAAACCAATCCCCCCTTTATTGCTTTCGTAGTTTAGTTCAATTAATACAAAATTATCACGATTTTATTCCTACTCCTCGTGGGATCGACCCTTACTCGCCGCTACTACTAGTTAGTAGAGTTTAGTCGAGGAAAAATATATAAATTTAAATTTGCCGTGTCGCGACGCGCGGTCAAATTTTGGCGCCGTTGCCGGGGAGTGGCGCAATTGAGTTGTGATTTTTTTAGTGTTAATTGAATTAGGTAATTAGATTATTTTTTTAGTTTATTTATTTTCTTCTCTTTTACTCTTTAGTTCCCCCATTTATTTTATTTTATTTTTTGCAGGTGGTATTCGTTCGATATGGATGCATCTTGGGGCCCGAATTGTGATTATGATTCTTATTATGGAATGAGAGGAGAAAGAATAGATCCACATTGTGAGGCTAGGATGTCGGCTATGATCCAAGAAGCTATTGAGAGTGTTCGTCAAGCTTTAAGGAGACCATGTCGTCTATGTCGTACCACAAGACACATCACCGATGATTGTCCCTATTTGATCGAGAGGTATGGTGCACGTAGAGCTACCGAGAGAGATTGGTATCGACAAGACGATTGGGCGTATTCAAATTCCGATAGGGACCATTACGGTTGGGGAGATCGTGGAAATTCATTCTGTGAAAATCTACAATATTCTCGATCGTATGAGCCTACTTATGAGCACGGCGAAATTCAATATCATTATGGAGGATCAAATTCAGAACCTTCGCTTGAACAAGAGGCTAGTCCATCATTGGTGAAGTTATTTAAAGAATGTCAAAATTCTTTGATGACTTGTAGCAAAAAGATTGGTGATGTATTGAGAGAATTGGATGCCCGAGCAAAGAGTCGGCTAGCCGAAGCCAGCCACGATGATGTCGGAGAGCTTAGGATGATCAGCGACACGGAGCTTGAGGTGCTGGACGAAGTTAGCTTTGAGCCGACAAACGATCGAAGCGACGAAGATAATGAAGAAGAAGACGATGAGGAGCAAATTTTCGCTGCTATCGGCCCCCCCGGTAAAAACCTGGAAGCATTCTCTACTGCTATCGGGGGCCCCGATAACAGTCCGCCCGAACATAAAAATGATGTAAAAGCTCCATCAATTGCCCCGAGCATGACCGAAATTTCATCTCTTCTATCCGAGGTCAAACAACCAGCACCTGAGCATATTGAAAATCAAGAGCCTTACATCCTGGAAGTCATAGAGATTCCCCCTCTTATCCATGAGCCCGGACTAATCTTTTACCATGAACATTTACCACCGAGAAGAAAAGATCCGGTAAAACACCCGACACCGAACGAGGAGATCTTTAATAAGAATGGCGCTACAAGGTTTGTGCCTCCTTTGAGGCCACCTATGAAGCCGCCATGGACCGCTTGAGAAAGCGGAGCAATAAGTCGAGCCAACGACACTAAAAAAAAAAGGCGCTTGTTGGGAGGCAACCCAATGGTGTGCGACGTGACTTCTTCTCTTGATAAGGTGAACTCTTTCCTTTTACTTTGTATTTTGTTCTCTTATGTGCAAACTCTAAGTTTGGGGAGATTCATTAGAGTGAGATATATTTGTGTGAGTTGTTGAGTTGTGCTCTATATTATATATTATCTTGATTTGTTGGAGTATATGTTACTTGTATGTGGAATTTTGCGATGATGAACTGAGTGTCTTTCGGAATTATCGTGCTAGTTATGATGACTTGGATTGATGATTTCTGGTTAAATTCTTGAAGTGTTGTTATTTGAGGGACAAAGACATGACGATTGATGTTTATGTGTTTTATTCGTGGTGAGTTGGTTTCAAACTGTTTATATTTTTGAAATGTGCTGGTGACTATTCTGCTTGATGTCGATTGTGTGAGGTAACTTGACGTGGAAAGTTGGGAGTTGATTGTCTCGGAAAAAAAAAAGAAAAAAACAAAAAAAAAAGAAAAAAAATCGAGACTTTTGATTTCTGGCTAGAAGCGATGAGGAACCAAACCGGTTGACAAAGAAAGGGGTATCATTAGTTGCATG